CTCGATGCCATTTTTAAAATATTTTTTTTTAAACAAATAGTAAATGTTAAAACTACAGGCATTGGAAGAAAGATAAATATAATCATCGTGAGTTTTTACGCATGTCTGCACTATTCTTTGTTTTTTGTTCTATAAAAAATAAATGTCAGAAATACAATATTGTTACCTCTGTATAAAAGACGCAACTTCTTTACCCGACTCGTATTTTGAGAATTTATAATTAAAGCACTTGCAATCATTTTCTCTGTGTAATTTTAAATTGCATTATTGGTAAATGGCAAAAAGCAATCAAATCACTTCTCTTATTCTTGAAATATTATTATATAAAATGATTGTTTCCTTGAACAGCCTAAATATCAGGGTTGGTAAATTGGTACTCTTTCAGATAATTTGTAAATGCATAATTTTAGTTTATAACGTTTAAATTTTATTACTGACCTATATTTAAATGCATGTGAGGGTTATTTCTTTGGATAAACCATATATTTAAAAGTGGAAAATCTTTCGAAATCACCTGAGGGCCGGTGTCGTATAATGAGACTTCTCCCATATTGAGACTTCCCCCGGAAGGCTGGCTATATAGTGAGATATCCCCCGGGAAGACTGGCTTTATAGTGAAACTTCCCCCCGGAAGATCGACTGGCAATAGAGTGAGACTTCTCCCGGGGAGGTCTCACTATATAGCCTGTCTCTCCCCCTTTCATAGTGAGACTTCCCCTCAAATGTAGTTTCCGGAATATTTTATTTCATTGTAAAACAATATTTTTCAGTATATGAATAAAAGTTCTCCATTAATTAATAATTAAAACATCTTAATAGCCTTTTAACAGTTTGTTAGCCAAAAATAATTTTGGGATGACATGTACATGTATATTGATGTGAGATAACTGAATGAAAAATGTACGTTTTTGTTACAAGTATACATCTTTCTTTACTACTTTGTGTTTATTGCATTCTCCCTGAAGGTTAACATAAGCAAATTCCAAGAGTCCACGAGTAATGATCTTTTAAATGTTAAATGTATTTCTTTTTGGAACGATTGATTTATTGTGCACGATAAATTTTTATGCGCACTTCTATATTTATTCATACATGTATCTATTTTATAAGATCATTGTCAAAATCCAAATATATATACATCGTCGATGTAAATAAAATACAACTGAACATGGAAGGGGGAAGTCTCACTATGGTCGTTTAAGGGGGAAGGCTCACTCTATAGTAATCCCCCCCCCATCGGGGAGTCTTACTATATATAGCCAGATTTCCAGGGGGGGGGGTCGTCTCACTGGGGGGGGGGGTCTCACCATATTACACCGGACTAATTCAGGTTAGCTAGGAACACTAAGGTTTTACCAATCTTCTTGTATAACAATTGTTTACAAATTTTACGAATACTGCTCAGTGGTTACATTTTAAACACATATACAAAAAAAAAAAAAAAAAAAAAAAAAAAAATTGAAATTACTGTTGCAAATGTTCACTGAAAGGCAGCTTGCCTCTCCCTTCCCCACATTTTTTGTTGCAGCATATTCATACCCCCCTCCCCCCATGTGTTTTTTGAGAAAGTCAAAAAGTTTAAATCTTCCCTCCCCATCCACGAAATAAGAATTTCGAGTTTGAACACCCCCTTTTTTCCTAGTGTAAGATTATTCAGGTAAGTTGTAATTTTTTTTCTGACTACTCCCCTTTTTTTGGAAAAAAGTTCTTTTGCTTGTAATCGCTGAGGAAAAAATGTTACATTCCACTGTCTATTGATGAAGCCAAAGAGATGACATTTCAGGCTTTCTGGAAAGCCAAACTTGTTATATAAAATGATTGTTTCCTAGAACAGCCTAAAAATCAGGGTTGGTAAACTGTGACTCTTTTTAAGATATTCTGTAAATGCTTAATTTTAGCTGATATAGTTTAAATTTTATTACTTTCCTCTTTTTAAATGTATATGAGCGAGCTTCATTTCATTAAACTAGGCTTTATGTGTATATATTGCAAGAAAAGTTACGTTGTTGGCATTTTTTTTTACTTTTCTATGTAGCTGCAGAACTGTAGCTCTCCGCTTGAGAAAAGTTCGAGTTTTCTCAAGCAGAGAGCTACAGTTCTGCAGCTATTTTCTATATGCTATTTTTCTCAGTAGCGTGTACATGTACATGTGCTTATAATATATAAAGCGTTAAAAGATGAATCTGGACAGTAGAAGGCTTTGATATAAGAGTGGCTTATTTCAGTTCCCCTTTATATCGACAGTGGCTCGATGGCCAAGTCACTTAGGAGGTACCGGTCGGACTATTTTAAGTTAGCGCTATAATTAAAACTTCTTGGCTGCTGTCAGAGTAAGCTGCTATGAATTAAAGTCAAAAAGAACGCTCAGGTTTTACCCATCTTTTTTTATAACAGTTGTTTATGAATTTTACGAATACTGCTTAGTGGTTACATTATTTAAATACATTGCGCCAAAAAAAAAAAAATATTTGAAATGAATAAAATATTATATTTTTACACAGTTTAAATATTACAGGCATATATGTCATGAGGATGGCCACACCCTCCCAATTTATTTAAACATAACCTTTAATTGTTGCAAATGTTCACTAATAGGCCGCTTGCCTCCCCCTTTCTTCACACTAGTTATATCCTCCCCAAATAAATGTGGGTTTTTTTTTTTGAAAAAGTGAAAAAAAAAAAATTAAATCTTCCCTCCCCATCCACGAAGTAGGATTTTTGAGTTTGGACTCCCACCCCTTGTTTTTCATTCCTAGTCAAAGATTGTTCAGGTATTTTGTTTCTTGTTTGTTTATTGTTTAACGTCCCTCTCGAGAATTTTTCACTCATATGTAGACGCCACCACTTTCGGTGGAGTGCTGCAAATTTTGACCTATACTCGGCACTTAGGGCCATTGAGCAGTGAGGGATCGTTTTCGTGCCACACGGGATTTCGGTTTATACGGTCTCATCCGAAGGACTGATCTCCACATCCCACAGGTGGATTCGAACCCGCGACTTAAGGATCAACTCCTTACTCCGCGACTCTAGAGCGAACGCCCTAACCACTGCGCCAGGTGGGCGACTTCAAGTATTTTGTATTTTTTTCCTGATTACCCCCCCCCCCCTTTAATAATGATTCTTCTGCCTGTAATACCTGATAAAAATGTAACATTCCATTGTGTATTCTGTGACATTAATGAAGCCAAAGAGATGATATTTCAGGCCTTCTGGAAAGCCAAACTTGTACCTGACATAATGAACAGTTTTCGGCTTATAATTATAACCATTACATATAATGCAATTTTGTCTCCCCAAAAAGTGTTTAGAGCTTCCTTAAGTCTGAAAATAGCTGAGTAATTCTCAAGAGGAGTTGAGAATTCGTTTGAGAATTCTCAAAGTTTTATGACGGCAGACCCTGGTGTATGATATGGTATAACCCCCCCCCCCCCCGACACACACACACACGCACACACACTCCCCACCATCTGTAATTTCTTGAAGACACGAAAACTTAATTACCAAAATACACGAATTTCCAGCATATCATATATACATTCTGATATCTGATATTATTTCCCATTTCTGTATTGTTTTTGTTATACGTTTTTGAGATTACAATTCAAACAATATATTAAAAAACTGTTCCGAGAGAAGCTACCCTCTTCGAAAGGTGGGTCTTTAGATTACTCATTAATTTAGAACTTTACAGAATTGCAATTTCAAGACAATGGCATTGCACTGGATATAAATTTGTATGGTATAGTTACTGCTGGATTTGTGTCATCGTGCGGTGACAGTAATATTAAGTTGCTTGAGCATGTTTTATCGTATTTTATATACATAAGGGTTGGACACAAGTTCTTTCAACTTAGTCCTTTCCCTGTTATGCATACAATGATTAATGAACATTTGATTTCATGGATGGACAACGAAATCAACAAAAAAATGCTGTTCAACGATGAAACCGCAGTAGTACGTAAAACAGTCTGTCATAATGAAAAAAAGATAACGAAAAAATTATCGATCAAAAAATAATAATAAAAAAACTAAAAACAATAAAAATGTGTGAAGAGAGCATAAAACACGGACCCGGAAATTCTAGAGGCTACGCATAGATATAGATATGAAGTTTTCTAATGCTATAGTAGTTTTTCCACCAAAACCACCGAGAACGCAATTGTTGTGTAGTACGTTAAAATTTGCCGTTGACTCTGCTGATCTCCTTGTTAAAAGAGGTTCACATCCTGTTTCTGATAGAACTTGTCACTAGATGAAAATATGGTAATGATTCACGCACCAGTTAGCTGTGTCTACTTTTCTCTGACAGCTTTTTTTCATTTAATGTCCACAGAGTAACACGTTTTTGACGAAAAAGACTTGCATTAATAGAAAGTGATTTATGTACCTGAACTTAACAAAGACTACTAGTATAAGAGAGGATTTTTTAATAAGTACATTCAAATTTTCCTCAAGTAACTTGATATCAGGACCAACATGTACTTATATTCATGTCGTATTTACATGTTCCTCTGATATCTTTTTTTTTAAAGGAACTCTTTCAGTTCTGCAACGCCCATCGTTATCCGACCATATCAGGACACATGCATCCGTCATTTTTTTCTTTGATAAGACTCAAGCTCTTCGTCATCAGAAGTCATCATGATTATTTCATGAAAAAAGGACAAGTGTTAATTATTTAAAAAGTACTCACTAAGACAGCTGTAAGATGTAAAGGTAAAATATGAAAGATGTTATTTGATAGGAATCAATCCTAATTATAAGATTAATTTAGAAAGAAGGACAATTAGAAAGGATTATTGAATAAATTTTCTTTCTAGTGTGACAGTTTTGTTTGAATGTTTGTTATATTTTTTACTCGCCTGTTCGACTTGATACCTGAGCGAAAATCGCATTGTGCTTTTAAGAGATTTACAGCCTTTGCATGCTTTACTTGCTCTGGTATTTACTTCCGGGTAAACAAAGACGGTGAAGCGTGCGAAAAAAGGTTGACGTAATTTTGTTCAAGTCCATTGATTGCAGCTCTAGAGTGTCGTGTCAGACGCACAAGTTTGGGAATTTTTAAAAAGACGATTGTGAGTGTTATTTGGATATTCTGAAGAAAGATGTCGAGCGGACAAAAATACGAAGTGGATCGTGAGTATTGTTAATAAAGTTTATTACTTGTAAAATGAAAATATTAATAGTTAATTTGAGTTAAAAAATATAATCATTGCAACAATTATACAACATGGCGATAAGGCTAGCACTTCAGATGTACGAGGAAAATAATTCAAGTGGATCAAAATCGAATTTTATCAATGTCTTTTAAAAGTAAGCAATCCAGTCTTTTGTCACAGGCCTGGTCATTTCTATAAATAACCCACACGTTGCGCCAACGTTTCAGATCTTCAAAATGGCTTCAATGATGTAGCATAAAATCTCAGTTCGAATTCTAAAATTTAAAAGTGGAGAATAGTTGACTAATTAAGCAATTTCATTACGTCCAAATTCAAATATTTTTCTCAATTTTCCTAACTTTTTCTTGTGAGGGAATAGTGAACAGTCAGTCTATTTTCATCGCAGGCATATTTATTAAAAAAATGTAAAAACGCGTTCTTGCTAATTTGAATGAAGTTGAATGCATTAAGTATCTAATAATGCTGACAATTGCCATATGATGTCAGTAGTAACTGTTTGTGAAAAACAAATGTCACCGAGTGTGCACCAGATGTCTGATTTCTTATCACAAATACTAGTGTTTGTGTTATCGTTTTGTCCATTACAAAAGTAAACTCAGGGCAAGTATCTGTTGCCTATATAGTCGGTGGGGGGTTGGAATTCATCCGCTGCTTCTATAAGCTACATCTGCACCATGTATGAAGTATTATGGAGAGAGATAAACAAGCCAACAGGCAGACGAGTGGTATGTTGGAGATTCAAAGGGGTGGATGGATGGGTATATGGTATTTAATATCACTAAAATAACTGCTGTACAACAGTGCGTGCATGGTTGTTTGCCAAGTAATATTTTTACATGTATAAAATGAACATCGAGTTTTAATAACTCAGATCGTTTGTCAAGGTTGCGGGAAGGTTACCTTTTTTTTAATTGTACTGCAAAATGAGATAATTAAAGTTATACAAGACTCAATACGCTGTGGCAATTTGATAAAAATCAAATGTTTAATCCATATCTAACTTCCGATTTGCGGCAAAATATCAGATTTAAGAGCGTGTCAAAGATATGATTTTAGTCTACATTCTGATTTAAATCAGTGTAGACTCTCGGGGATTTTTTTCTACTCAGTTACAGGATATCGAATGTGGAAAATATTTTAGTCTACATTCTGATTTTAATCAGCATGTAGACTCTCGAAGACTTTTTCTACTCAGTTACAGGGTGTCAGATGTGGAAAATTACAATGTACAAGTCGTTTAACTGAAATTTCTACTCTCGTTTTGAGGAGTATTGCAAAGGAAAATTGTTTTGCCAAAAATGCACTGTTTTTTAAAGAATTTGAGTTGTGCAACTGACTTTTCCTTTTCTTTTTGATTTTCAAGTTTTCCATTTTTTTCCTCCTGAATTGATTTTTTAATATACTTTTTCTGGCTGGTCCCCACTTTTAAAAACGATGCTACATGCCTGCAAGTCCTACATTTTAAGAATAAACTTGATCATCGCTTTGGTAAAAAAATCTTTGAGTGCGTGCCAAATGAGAGACAAAACGCTGTTAACAATACAAGTAGGACAAAAATATCCTGATTGTAGCATATTTTGTCAAAGAAAAAGATCTCATGTTCCAGATGGACACCATCTGTAAAAAGACAAAAAAATATCAATAAGAAGGAGAAAAAGATACATGTACGTGACTGACATTCTTCACGTCATTATTTATCTGTAAACTGATCTTTCTCAAATTTTATGGCTTGGGGGGCGGGAGGGACAGATTTGAAATATGTATAAACATACTGATATGTCTCATGTAATTGCTCCACATGAAAAAAATATCGCAAGATAAATTTGATTTAACTATATTCAGTAAGGAAAGAAAAAAAATCCCATTAAATTCCCCCATTCACCGCATATCCTGTCGCAACCTCTCCCTTGTTATATTTAATCTTCTGGCATCGATAACAAGTTTTTTATGAGAGTTCGAGGAAGGACCTACCTGTTAGGACTCTATGCTCAACCAGTTGATCCTCCCCCCTTATTGATCAGAGTTGTAAAGCAAAGCAATTTTATCATAATTCAAACAGAGAGCTAGGAAGTATTCGTGTTCAAGTGATACACAACTTTCCGTACCTTTAAGTTTCAATCGATGCACTTCAGGACTTTGGGGTACTAGACAGGGTTTTTCTTTCGTGATATGACAGGATTTTAAAAAAAAATCCATACGTATACTTTGCGATACATTACGGGGGGCTATCCTAATTATAATCAATGTCGTGAATATTTGAATTGGTAACAAAAATATTTATTGATGAATGTGCCAGAAATAGTGCACACAGGGTACGTAATATTCGTATCCTTTAAAAGGACGTTTAAAGTATTCCATATGTGTATAACTTCTTTTAAGGTTTTGCCAAAGGTCAACATGTCCAAAAAATTATTTTTACAATAACTCCAAAACTATGTGGTTTATAAAGTTAAAACTTTTACAGTTTATAAATATATCATTGATTAACAGATAGAAAGTATCACTTGATAACAAATACTTAAAAAAATATTTATCGACAAAAATTCTTTTTAAAAAATGCATATATTTTTTTTTTTAAAAATACACCTAATTAATTCCGTACTTTTAGTGAAAGCCACCATTGCATATACAATATATGTTTATCAATGAAGGGCAAGTTGGACTTCGATACCTTCTGGAAAGTTGTTTTCCCTGTTTATTTTGTCCAAATGTTAAGATTTGAAACCGAAAGTACATTGCAAATGGCGGATTTTATAGGGGTCTTGTCTTTATACATGTCATGCTTTAAATAACAGCCTTTCAGAGACCATTCACGTCCAACTTGCCCTTCATTGATAAACATATATTATTTCTACATTGATGGTTTTCACTAAAAGTACAGAATTAAGCAGGTGCATTTTTTTAAAATATGCAAATTTTTTGAGATTTGTTTTCTCAAAAAATATATTTTCTTAAATATTTGTTTTCAAGTGATACTTTCTATCTGTTAATCAATGATATATTTATAAACTGTAAAAGTTTTAACCTTATACCTCACATAGTTTTGGAGCTATTGTAAAAATAAATTTTTGGACATCTTGACCTTTGACAAAACCTTAACAAGACTTGCTTTAACTATTTTTATGCCCCGCCATGAATATGGCCGGGACATATAGTGTTTGTCATGTCCGTCTTCCGTCCTTCCGTCTGTCTTCCCGTCGCGCTTTGCTCTGATCAAAGCTCAGTTTCAAAAAAACTATCCAAGATATTTTTATCAAACCTCATATGCTGATAGATATTGATGAGAGCTATGCAACTGCACCAAAATTTTTTGACCTTGACCTTTCCTTTGACCTTGACCTCACTTTTCTTAAATTAGTGTTTAGCTCAGTTTTAAAGATACCATTCAAGATAGTGTAATCAAACTTCATATGTTGATACATACTGATGTAAGTTGTTCAACTGCATCAATATTTTTTTACCTTGACCTTTCATTTGACCTTGACCTCACTTTTCTTAAATTACTGTTTAGCTCAGTTTTAAAGAAACCATTCAATATAGTGTTGTCAAACTTCATATGCTGATACATACAGATGAGAGCTATTTAACTGCATCAACATTTTTTGACCTTGACCTTTCCTTTGACCTTGACTGCACTTTTCTTAAATTAGTGTCAAACTTCATATGGTGATACATACTGATGTGAGCTATTCAACTGCACCAATATTTTTTGACCTTGATCTTTCATTTGCCCTTGACCTCGCTTTTCTATATTTGTGTTTAACTCAGTTTTAAAGAAACCATTCATAATATTTTTATCAAACTTCATATGCTAATAGATACTGATGTAACCTTTTCAACTGCATCAACATTTTTTACCTTTTCTTTGACCTTAACTTCATTATTTTAAATAAGTGTTTAGCTCAGTTTTAAATAAATTTATTTAAAATATTTTTATCAAACTTAATATGAGAACTATTCAACTGCATAAAAAATGTTTGACCTTGAACTTTCCTGTGACCTTTACCTCACTTTTCTTAAATTTGCATTTTGCTTTATTTTAAAGAAACCAGTTAAGATACATGTATATTTATGTAAGCTTATGCACTTATACATAATTTGGTAAGAATTTATCATCTTTATCCAACTTTTTAGATTTCAATTTCAATTTTAAAGAAGCTATTCAAGATATTTTCATCAAATTTCATACACTAATACAAATTTTCACGTTGCATTACTAATATACCCTCGGCGGGGCATTCATGTCCTATGGACATATTTCTAGCATTAATAACAAGTGAATATAATTTTTCTAGCTTCTTCTGGTATGTGTCTTTATATTTATGATTTACAGGTCAAATACGAGTTCATTTTTACACAATTCAGAGTTTGAAAATTTCTAATTTTTTTTTGTTTTTATGTGTCTTTATGTTGATGATTTAAAGATTGAGTTTAACTTTTAATTTTATTGACACATTTAACGAAAGACATTGCCCTTATACTTTGGAAATTCTTCCTGTGCTTTTAGATGACGAGCTGATTTTTTCCCTATTTGTTATTATATAAATTTGTAATTTTTCACTATTTTAACGACAGTGTTTGATTAACTTTGAAAGATGCTCAATTTATGTAAGGTACATGTAAAAAAGGTTGAAATAACCAATTAAATTTGAATTTGTTGAGGGTATACAATTAAAATAAAATTTACACAAAGTTTAACATCTGTACATAAAAGTTAAGCAACTGTCATTTGATAATCAAAGAAATGTAAAAGTTTAGGGGACTCCAAAAAGTTCACATCTGTTATTTGATCTATGTGTATCTTTTTAAAGGCTAGTTGCATTTCGATACTAATTAAATTTACAATAAAGTAGTAAAATTAACACAATTCTTAATGCTCAAAAGCTAAAGAAAATTGCCAAACAACCATTACCCTTCTTTATTACTACACAACAACCTGCATCCATTGTATCCGCT